CTACAATTCGTTTATAATTTAAAACGGAAATTACCAACATAAACAGCAATTCGGAAAATCAGGCAACAACCAAAATATAATATATAATAACAACCCAAATTTATCTCCGCATTCTTTTCATCATCAGAGATATCCTGAGCGAACTGTGTTCATTGTTATACCTGTTTAGTTATTTGATGCAAAGGGAAAGAAATAGTTTAATTTGCTGTCAGTTACCTTTAAGGTAATCTTGGGATAGTGAAAATTAAATTATTGATTCAGATTTTACTTCCAAAATGGTTTACACACTAGCCGAAAGAGTAGAAATGATTCTAATTCATGGTGCCCAAAATCAATGTGCTCGGAAAACTGCCGTCATGTTAAACTCCAGACATCCGGGGAAGATAACTTCGCATAGGTATGTTTTGGACCTGTTACTAAATTTACTCAACCTGGATCTTGCAAATAAAAAATGTGATCGTCGGAGAGTTTTGGATGAAGCCGCTCAAGTTGAAGTTTTGGCTCATTTTGGAATAAATCCTAATATGTACTTCATTACGCAAAATTGTTGCTGCAACTTGTATTTGATTATGCTCTGTACACATCTCATAAATTCCAAACATTCAAAATGAAAATATTGCAAGAGTTGACCGAAAATAATATCGATATCGGAGTTGAGTTTAGTGAACTGCAGCTATAAATAATACTGCAATTCATGTAAAGAATATCTCCTTCAGTGATAAACGCACATTTTATCTAAATGGATTTGTTAATAAGCATAACTGCAGTTAATGGAGTAATGAAAATCCTCATGCTTTTGTAAAGACCCCCCCCCAAGACCCCCAAAAAATTAATGTATGGGCGGGCATTTTAGGAAACAAAGTGATTGGACGTTCGTTTATTAATGCAAACTTGAATCGAGACATTTTTTGGGATATGTTGGAAAGCACCACCAATCCTCTTATCACTGAAACCATTGAAAACCAAATCGATGAGGATGGAAACCCTATACTTGATGAGGCTGACATATACTAAGTGACATATAAATCCGAACATCCAGTTTAAATGGTTTTATTTTAATAAAAGTTGGTGAATTTATTTATCTTACTGTAAATAACAAGTATACAAAATTTTCAGCCTTATCAGTTGGACATTCCGGTTTTTATACTGTTTTTTTTTATTCACTAACGCTCTAAAAATGAATATTTCAGCCGCCGTAAAGAATCAACGTTGGCGGATTTTGGTTCTTGACATCCTTTACGATCGGTTACGATGCCTAGAGTACGGAGACCTGTACGGATTCGTCAACTTAGTGAGTTTGATAGGGGCCTTATAGTGGGACTTCGGGAAGCTGGACTTTCTTTTCGGGCAATTGCAGTTAGAGTGCAAAGAAGTGTAGACACTGTGGCTAGGTGTTGTCAGGCATGGCTTCGAGAAGGCCGTACGCAAAGAGCAAGGGGCACTGGACGCCGCCGTAGAACAATAGACCGTGAAGATCGCCGCCTAAGATTATTGGCCTTAAGGGACCGTTTCTCCACTACCAGGTCCATTGCAAATGAATGGTTTGCAGAACACGGAAGACCTATTGGCATGCGAAGTGTTTACCGACGAATGAGAAGTTTTGGCTTGTTTTCATACCGGCCACACTGGGGCCACACTGGGCCCTCCCTTTAACTCGAGAACACCGACGTAATCGCCTTGAGTGGTGCAGACAACGGTCACTCTGGGATCAGGAATGGAACGGTATTGTCTTTAGTGACGAGTCTCGATTTTGTTTAGGCATGCACGATGGTCGTGCCAGGGTTAGAAGGCGACGTGGTGAAAGGAGGAATCCACAGTTTTTTGTTGAAAGACATGTTCATCACACTGTTGGAGTTATGGTTTGGGGTGCTATAGCTTATGGTTCCAGGTCACCTTTCATCTTCATCAGTGGTAACATGAACGCGCAGCGTTATATCCACGAAGTTCTAGAACCCCATCTTTTACCCTATCTTGACACCCTGGCAGATCCAACTTTCCAACAAGATAATGCCCGACCACATGTTGCAAGAGTCACAATAGACTTCTTTCAACATAATGATGTCACATTGTTACCATGGCCACCAAGATCTCCCGACTTATCACCAATTGAGCACATGTGGGATATGATGGGTAGGAGATTGCTCAATTTGCAACGTCCTCCTCAGACTCTAGAAGCACTTCGAGAGGAGTTGGTGGTTGCCTGGAATGAGATACCACAGGACGACATTGACCACCTGATCAGAAGCATGCCTAGGCACGTTGGAGAATACGTAGCACTGATGTGTGCATCCACACATTATTAAAGGTCAAAGGGCTTTAAAGCAGTGCAGTCATTTTGAAATTTTTATTATTTACTTATTATGCTTCATTAAGTACTTATACAAAATTTTATTAAAATAAAACCATTTAAACTGGGTGTTCTGATTTATATGTCACTTAGTAAATATTCCCAGCAAGACGTCGCTCTTCCTCACTATGTTCTTACAGTTCGGCTAGACAACGAGTTCCTTGTTTGGCAACATTTTGAACACTTATTGAAATAAAAAGTGATATTTTCGTGTGTTTTGTTTTTCTAATTTTCATGAAACCGAATCGACTGATATTAAAAAACTAAACGTCAAAATAAAGGACTTCGAAACACCTTTCAAACACGCTGTTACACAATAGACCTTGTGACTTTAAATGTTTAAGGGGATGACCCTAGGGGGCAGAAGGTGAAAGGGGGTGAAATAGCTTTTGGTTAAAAAGTTGTCCATCTTGAGAAATCTTTTGACGTGTCTCGGCCCTTTTTCGATAAATCCGTGGTGGGAAGTTTTCAAATGAGCACCCTGTATATAAGTTATGTTTTGGTATTTTTCCCCTGCGGTGGATATAATATATCCATAGGAAGTTAATATATGTGTTGATATGCTTGACTCAGACTTGTTCATATAATTTTGCTGTAACCTTTAGGAAATTCATCAATTTTTCTGATAATTTATTCTTGAATTTATTAGATTATGTTAAGCGGTTTTGTTTATTTTGAAGCGCTGTTATTTGTTCAATTCTTACATACAGTAAAAGACAACAAAAGTCCTCTGTGGTAACTAACATCCAAAACAAAATTCATCATTCATACTCACCTTTCTCTCGGAATGATCAAGAACTATAAGCGGGGTTTTGACACTGGATATAACTCAAATTTCAAATTGATTGTATTTGTATTTGTGAACTTCTTGCGTTGCACAGTGGCACATATCAGTAGTGTTTATCTATATCAATATATATATGATCCCCTCACATAAGGACATTACGACGGAAATCTAAAGACGCACGGCACCCACCCCGAATTTTTGGCAAATCAAATTTGTCCCCAATCATTCATCAAGGCTCATGCTGCTTCCAAATCAAATCAGGCCGATGGCAAAATGGCGACCAAACCAACGCATGTGTGCGAACAACGAGTACCGAGGAGCATTTACATAAATATCCAATTGCAGCCCCTCAAACCCCTGCACTCGGCCCCCAGGACGCGGAAAGTCACTTTCCGACCACTGGTAGTGCCGCGGCGACGCGAGGTCCGCGCGCGTCGGCACAGATCCGGCTTAAGAGAAAATTAATTATTTAGGTAGGGAGAAGTGCTGTTACGACTGCATGGCTGATGAGAGGTTTGTGGATCGGTGAATGTGGGGCAAAAATGTAGGATAGAGGATTCTCACTTTGTATGCGTCTGCTAATACGGCGTGAAAAATGCTTGAGAATATTCTCATACTGTCACGATAGAAGAAAGGAGACGTGAGCTGGGACGTGAGCTTCCTGCATTGAAAGGGACTTTGTATCAGAATCAGCAAGAAAACGTCTGCTCAAAAACAATATCAATTTGTTTATTAAAAACTGAGTTAATGTCAACTAAACATGGCTGTAAAGGCTCCCCCAAACAAACGCGAATTATTCGCAGCGGATTCGTGACCGAGAATCCGCAGAGAATTCGTGATGGAGAATCCGCAGCAAATTTCATGGCGATTTCCGGATGAAGCCTAACACCAATGCGAATATAATAATTATTTACGTTGTATTGTCAGTATCGAAAAGGTGGAATGCTAGTGTTAAAACAGAAATGTATACATAATCGGATAAAGAAGACGCACTATTGTTCCTTGCAGTGGAAGAAGATAATTTAAGGTAAAATAGTTTTTTATAGATATCTTAAAATTAGTGTGTTTGCAATAGTACGAAGCTTACCTTAGGAAAAAATAAGTCGACAAAATTAATCAAAAAAGGCTAGAATATGAGACGAGAAACGGTTCTATTTATTTCAGAATGACAATTGCTTGTTTTGAAGAACTTTTACACCTTATATATATATATATATATTGGAAAGTTGGACACACATTACCGAGAAGCTGTTTCACCTGAAGAACGACTAGCCATTGCATTAAGGTAATAAGACCAATTTGTTATATCTTCAAAAGTTTATTTACAACGAAATGTATTATCCCGAAAAAATACAGTCATATTCAGAAAATGCTAAATGTATTATCTTAATAGGGAGACGGATTAAATGTGTTGAGGCAATCAGAAACTGATTCTTTTGAAGCGGGTTGAGATACGATATGCGGTTGGTTGGTCAATGTAGTATATACGAATCCAGAAGCTATTTGGTACGCTTGGAACCTCTCCAATAGTGTATGGTATGCAGCATCTTTAGGAGAGCCTATAGGTACAACTGGAGTACTTTCGACGGCAGAGATAGTTCTACAAGCACCTGTACTTGCAGGTCCAGTTTGATAATTGTTTGAAGTGCTTCCTTCCAGTTGGAGAAGTTCGTACTCCATGATGACTTATGCGATTTCCATTGTGGCTTCAATTTGTCTCCTAGCAGATAAAGTTTTAATCGAACATGCGTAGGTGAGAAAAAGCTGTCAATTGCATCAAGCTTGATTTTTGTCTGCTGTCGAAATATGTCATCAAATCTTGCACAGAACTCGATTGCTCAGCTTTATGTTTTCTATTTTCTATAGACACTAATGGTGTTCTAAGCACGGATGCATCTTTAGACGTAGATTTTGGTGTAGGTGTGATTGAAGGTGTGACTGTATGATGCCTGTATTCAAGTGTTCAGAAAAAGTATTTCCTTCTACTTCTGGAATTTCAGACATTTACTCGTTTTCAGCGGTCCCCGTATTTATCTCTAGTGTATGTTCTTCTGGATGGATATTTTGAATATTGGATGTGGTTTCAGCAAAACTTAAAAACGGTCTTAATCCTTCCATTTGATCTGCCCATATCCATTTTTTGATATTAGTTGCTGCTTGTCCCGTTTTAGTTTTATTGCACCTAATATACTTGGCACAAGTATCACGCAGATTTTTCAATTTTTTAATCCCTTCTCTAATAAGAAAATATTTTTCAACTATAAGCGCCATAGTTACAGAAGTTTGTGAAGCTATATGTAAACATTTGCAAAATCTATATTTACCCGAACCTACAACAGAAATATGGCATAAATCTGAGAAAGGGTTTAGAAATCTATGGAAATTCCCAAATTGTATTGGCAGCATAGATGGTAAGCACGTCACCATCAAGTGTCCAGATAGAACGGGATCTAATTATTGGTACTTTTTAAATAAATTTCTCGTAGTATTATTGGCAATTGTCGGCCCAGATTATAAGTTTATGTTAGTTGATAATGATGCTTTTGGTAAAAATAGTGATGGAGGAATTTTTGGTGTTTCCAACATGGGAAGAAGATTTGAAGCAAATACAATGAATTTACTCGAACCAACAAATCTCCTAGGACAAAATGAACCGTCCCCTCATGTCATAATTGGTGACGAGGCTTTTGCTCTAAAACCTTACTTGTTGAGGCCTTTTCCTTACAAACAAATTAGAACAGATCTTAAGGAAAATTATAACGTAAGACTCTGTAGGGCGAGAAGAGTGGTAGAAAATCTCTGCTGTCTATTGGCATAAAAATGAAGAATATTTTATAGACCAATGGAAACCAAAGTAGATACTACCATTCTTACTGTGGAAACTGCATGCATCTTACATAACTTTCTAAGAACAAAAAAATGTGATGATGCATTTATCGAACTTTTAGACCCAGCAGAACCTGATCTTGGAGCTTTTCAAAATGGAGAAAATGATCCAAGAAGAGCCGCACTATTGGCATTTTCTGAACGAGAAAAATTCTTTATGTTTTTTAATTCAGGACTATAATAAGCATTTTTGTGATAATTATAACAATATAAACCATTTCGCCTACTTCTTGTCCTATTTTAGTCCACACCTTATCCTTTTTGCGCATATTTTTGTAGCCTGCATGAGAAAGGTCATATAATATAGTGTACTTTCGAACTAATTCAATAATGTGCTCCATTTCGGTTTTCCTCTTTATAACGGTGCGAATCTGACAGAAAACGCATCTTAATTCGAACTAAGTTTCCCCATATATAAATACGTAGATGAATCGCCGTCAAATCGATAAAAACCGCGCTGATCTGAACTTGTCTATTCATCACGGTGTAAACAATGTGATGCGAATAGCAGGCAGTGCGAATATTCGTAGATATTGCGAATTTTCCCCGTTGGTTTGCGAGAGCCTTAAGTCCGGAGCATACTTATCTCCATCTGGTGTGCCCCAGGGGTCTAACTTGTGGCAGCAATTATTTTTGATATTTATTAGTGACCTCTGTGAGAATTCCAGCTGTATACGTTTATACTTTGCATATGATACTCTTTCATTTACAACATACAGGATTGATTATGCTTGCAGATGCAGTCAATTTATATCAGGAATTGGTATGCAATAAATTACATCTTAATATAAGCAAGTGTAAGATTGTTAGCTAAATTGAGAAGAAGGCTATCTATTCATATAACTTATAACAACGATGTATTTGTTTGGGATAGGTGCAATAGCGTTAAGGACTTAGGAGTTATTTATGATGAAGAACAACTTCAACGCCAAAAATCTGTGGCTAATGAAATTTTGTCCAGAACCAACCCCTCCCCCCATCCTACATACATACAACTTTCAATGCCCTGAAAGTATCTAAAGCAATAAGGTCCTACGGATTTCTTGTCAGAAATTGTTGGTGTTCCATTACATAAGATCTCTGAAAGTATTATACTTCTGTTACATACGTACTAAACTTGAGGACGCAATTATTATGTGAAACCCATATTACAGATGACACATGAATGACATGGAAAAAGTCCAAAGAAGGTTTCTGAAATTATTGTATTTTAAATCTGACGGGATTTGCCCGCAGCAAGGCATCGGTAACTCGGAATTATCTCAAAGCATTAGGGTTAAGAAGGAATATATTAGCTGCAATATTTCTTTTTACATCATTAGATGACGATATTGATTGCCTTAAAATTTTTTCCCGACTAGAGTTCCATGTACCTGTGTTTACGTCGCATAATTATATCACATTCAAACCTGCACGAGCCAGAGCCTGCTGCCTTTTAGTTAAATCTCCTATTAACCATATTTTGGGATTATAGCCATGACCTATCCCTCCCAGGGTGATGCGTGTGACTCGTCAAAATACTTTACTTGTGGTTGACCAGCACCAAGGACATGCTTAAATGCCAGAACGGTTTAGGTTAAATCGTAAACTTCATACGCAGGCAACTCAAAATAATTTATTACATTATGTTTATCTAACGAAATGGTCCGCACATTCTATGACGCGTTATATCCAAAACACCGTTTATCTGCTTTGCACCCTGTAACTGCGGTTACCATTCCAAATACGGTCCTGCTTCAATGGTTTATTCAACGAGTAGTGACAAGATATTTAGCTGGCCCTGCAGGGCGCCGTTCATCCCTTTGTGCAGAGGGCTTACCCAACAAACCACACCATAAAATACTTTACGGCTCCCTTATTGCATTTACTTGGTATTGCTTGTGCCATAATACTGACGTTTCATTTCTCGCCAGACCACTTGCCCTATTTATGGGAACTGCATATGAATGCATAGATGCAATTTTGTATCTAAGGGATGGAATACATTTTTCTTTATAAAAACGGCAGTTCGGGTGTGTAAACGAAAATTTAAAGGGTCTTTTGTGATACGATGTATTCTTAAGTGTTGAATAATTGGTCTAAGAGGTCATAGTATTAAATTAAAATTGAGAGGCATAATATTTTTGACACTATCTCCGTTGACGTTTTATAATAGGTATGTGTACAAAAACAAGGAAGATATAGCAAAAAACAATCAAAATCGTCAATAAAATACAGGCAATAAAGGTAGGCTTAATTGTGTTATCGATAAGACACTATTCTAGCGAAATTGGTAATAAATGTGAATTTTACAATAGCTTAAGGAAAGATAACAGGGTTTTCGAGCATTTAACTAGCATATGATGTTCTTCGTCTCAATGTATGGCTTGTGTAATTTGTTTGTAATAAGTTATTATCTGAGTGTACTTTACACCTTTTCTTCTAATTTTGCCGCTTTTCCACCATAAAATACCTACCAAACAATTTTTGAAACACTTTAATCGGACAAAAAAGTTTTTAGTCATTCCTTTGACTCGTTTTCACCAAACATTTGGCCCCTCAAAGCTACCTTCAGAATATTACCGTATACCTTTCGCCTAGGTTACCTGGATTAGTGTTTGGTAGAAAAGTTGTAAGGGAAGCATTCCTTAAGTGAAGGCATTACCGCTTGAAAACAAAATAATAAATTGTTTGCATAGTTCTTATGACATCAGAATAATTCATGCCAAAAGTTAAGTGTTCGCCAGACTGTGGGAGTAAATTGTGAAAATGGCATCCTTCAGTGTTTTCCGACTCAATAAAGTTTAGCGAAGCATTGCTTTTAAAACGTCAAGAAACAGCAGTTAATGTTTTCTCTAGAACTTGGACCTTTTACTTTCCAAGCCTACTGGCGGAGAAGTATTAAAATTTTTTGAAATTGAGATATTTTATTTGGACGTGACCACGTCACTTATTTAAGTCGGTCTGTTCGTCTGTCTGTGTGGCGGTTAATCCTAGACCCTGCTATTACTTGGAAACTACTGCTCGGATTTGGATAGCATTTTTACACAAGTTACTACTAAGACGAAAAAACTTTATTTTTGAAAATCGGTTTAGTGACGATGGAGGAAATGATAATATGAAAAAAAATAAAATAAAAGGTCTTGCTCAATTGTGAAAAAAATTTTAGGGGTAAAAAATTTGGGCGTATGGGGGGGGCAATTCTTTGATGTCAATATATAATAATACACTTTCATCCCGGGTAATTCAATTCACCTAATAGACATATTTCACTCATCGTAGGTTTCCCGTACATTTTCCCTAAAAAATATTTTCAGCAGACGGATTTCATGTGTATCGCTCGCACTTGTCATACGCTACGAGGTTGTAAATATGTATTGCATCTTCGGCAGTGGATCCGATCGACTTGTAAGAGCAGGTAGCAAACGGCGCCATGACGCGGTGTGCACATACGCGATATTGTCTATGTACGAGCTTCAGTGTAGTTGAATGAGGTTACTTGAGTTCGTGAGGTAATAGTATATAGGAAAAGAGCTATTATGTTATCAAACATTATTGACAAGCAGCCTTACACAAGAGCTCCATAGAAATGAAGCTACCGTATACGAACGTACTGAAAAAAAACTTTTTTTGTAAAAAGCCCATGTTATATGTATAGCTCTGACAAATCCTACGTCTCTTTGATGCCATGAGACTGCATGGAAAATTGTACCAGAAGCTGTATCGAAGATCTGGGAAGTATATAGTCAATCTACCTGATGTCCTTTCTTATTTCACACCAACTTTATACATTATTTCAAATACGGGCTTCTCAGGATCATGTAGGTATATTTATATAGTATAAATGCATGGCCACGTCAATCTTTTTGAACATACAAAAACGCGATCAATAAAACTCAAACGCACTGGGATGACGTGTACCCATCTGTAAGGAAATTTCCCATAACACACATCTCAGGTTCACTAACCCGGAACGCCTACTATTAAACAATCAATCCCGATCTGCACCAAGCAAAAAATTCCTCATTCTATGCAAGATAATAAAAAACGCCAAAACGCCGAAAATGTATAAAAGGTTGCACAAGCGTTCTCACGACTATTGAATGGACTGAAACTTTTATCCCTTTGTACAGGTCTCTGTTGCACAGGTGACGGTGGGCTCTTTGGAAGACAGAACAATCATTCAGTCCTAGATTCGGGGGCGTGCAGTAAAGTCAATGTCTGCATTGTGCGCGAGATGAAAGAGGGTTACTGCAGGTAGGTCACTTGTTAATTTCGCTGGCATTGTAGCCGGGTACAATAAATTTGCAATTTCTTTTGACGGTATGTATGGCAAGTGCATAGATGACTCTATTCATCCTGAGCCTATTCGTGTAATTATTTCGTTTTGGGAATTCCCTTCCTTTGGAATGAGGATTGGGAAGTTTAATGGATATTTTTTCAGTAATTAGGCAAAGCTAAGCCTCACAACAGTGGTACAGCCTATTTCATGGGTATTCATTACGTTTGACGTCTACATCAGGAAGTGACACCTTCGTATTAGTCTGTAACGTTGGCAATAATGAATTGGCTATAAATCAGGACCTGTTATTGACATATAATAATAATAGTAATAATAATAATAAACCGTCTTTTATTTTCAAAGAAAATTCAGTATATTAAAAAAATTTATATAATGCCAGTGGCGAAGTCTAGCTGACAGCTACTCTACTCAACCACTGTAGGGGAACACCCAAATAAACGAATAATTTAATTTGTTACTAAATAATATGTAATTACATATGTCAAAATCTATGAGGTAGACAGAAACAGTATACATATGATGAATAACATACATGTAAAGATTATGCTTTAACTTTTAAAAACTATACAGGGCGTACAAAGAAAGGAACAACACATTCTATGTTAAAGAGATTTGTTGAATATACAACATTGCATCATTGATGCTACTGCATATCAAACAAATAACGTTTCAGTTTGAATTTGCCCTTGTTCATATTAAGAAGCTTGAATTATTGTGGCAGCTGATTATACATCCTGATAGCATTATATATGAACGATCTTCGAAACATGGCGGACTTATGCTGCGGAGCGGTGTAGTTCAATTTTGATCTTATATTTTGATGATGAGTGTCTTTGCGGGATATGAAATGTTAGAGGATTTGGATTGTTGACCAGTTTATGCGTAAAATTACACAAGCGAAGGAGTCTCCTATTTTTCATGGTAAGCCATTCACACTCTCTGATTTTGAGTGATATGGGGTCATACTTCCTAATTCCGTATGCCAGCCTACAGCAGCTATTTTGAACCCGTTGTATTTTCGTTATGTCAGCACTAGTCAAGCACAATAGTTGAAATTACTAAGCACCAAGGTTTCACATAAAGTTTTTTTAGCTTTTTACTTAGGAAATGTCGACTGCTATAAATGAATTTGAGGGAACTAAATGCTTTATTTACAAGCGTTTGAATATGGAGTGAGAAACGATGGCTTGGGTCAACAGTTAAGCCCAAGTTACGAGAAGAATCACAGAAACTAAGCACTTCGCTTGTAATTTTCAACGAAAGTGTCCTTTAAAATATTTATACTATTTTTATTGCCAAAAAGTATTACTTATGTCTTCTTAAGGTTGAGGTTTAGGTTGTGCTGCTCTGATAATGTGTTTATCGATTTAAGCTCTTCATGCAGAGTTCGATCTGCTGCAGCACTGTCTTTCATGGAAAAGCTAAAGTAAACTTGAATATCGTCAGCGTACGATTGTACATTGACGTTTTGTATCTTTCTGAGGATTTCTGCTGTGTACGTTGTGGTCAAACACCAAGCACCAAGGTCTCACACAATATTTACCTCAATTTTCTACTTAGAAAATGTCAACTGCTTTAAATGATCTTTAGAGAACCGAATGCTTTATTTACTAGTGTTTGATTATGGATAGAGAAACGAAGGCTCGGCTCACTAGTTAAACCTAAGTTACGAGCATTTTTACAGAAACAATTTGATAGTTTCAATGAAAGTATCTTTCAAAATATTGATGTTATTTTCATTGTCAAAATACATAACGTTTGTTTTCTTAGAATGGGGCTTTCAATTGTGCTACTCGGATAATATATAGATCGATTGAGGCTCTTTATTGAGAGTTCGTTCTGCTGCAGTTCTGTCTTTTACAAAAATGCTGAAATGAACTTGTCGCATGCTTGCACTTTTACGTATTGGATCTTCTGAGAACATCTAGTAAGTAAGTAGCTCCATATGAAAAACACTGAGGAGTCAGTGAAATCATAGTTCTTCAGCTTTGAATATAACAATTCATAACTGATGGTGTGAAAAGACTTGGAGATGTACAAAAGCACAATAACGCTAGATAATCCTTGATTATAATTATGCCGTTAAAATATCCGTACCCCTACCCGGACTATCCAGATTAGCAATTGGGAACTAGACCATGAATTGAAAAATATTCATAAATTTGGATATAAAGATGTGTTTCAAATATTTTTGGAACTGCTTTTAGAAGAGATATAAGCCTTAGATGGAAAAATTCATGCTGATTACTGATTTTAGGGATAAGTATACCAATAGCAGATTTCCATAGACATGGAAAGCAAGACCGCTCCATGAAGCAATTGATTATGCGCGATTTATATTTTTTTTTTATTTTATCAGTACCAATAGTATCTGATTGTAAACCATGCGATCGTGCGCAATTCTTCGACAGTTTGCATTCTGAACTGGAAGCTTATGGACATTACCCGAATAAAACTCGATTTTGTTGTCGCAAACTGGAGTAACACATCGTGAATATGACGGAAAGTAGTTATTTAGATAATTAGGGTTACACAAATGAACTGGAATTGAAGTTTTACGTCGCGACGACACGATAGCTGGATACTTTATTAAGTGACTGCGCATTTTGACAATGAAATATATGAAGTACATATAGAAAAATGTTTATTAAAAAATTATTATAGTTCATCTGGGATAGGTAGGTAATAGAACAGACTGCGTTCTCATTTCCAGTTAGTGTAATTTTACCTGTAAACATAATGTTGACCCATGTTTCTTGGTTAATTGTCCGTCATCAATGTAACGTAATTCAATTCATTGCATTTTAAAATCATATGGTGGTCCTAAAAAGTAGTCATTAATAACATAATCAAAAATTGTTGATCTTATTTTATACTTACCTGAGTTGACATGATCATTAGCAGTTATTTTGCTTGTGTCGTTTTTAACGCGGATGAAGTTTTCTTAAAAAAAGAGTTGTTAGCGGTACAAAATTAATTCGTAGCCTAGAAGAAGCCACAACAAAATACGACCCTGTCTACCTGGCGTCGGGTCCGTCAGAATTGTGTGTCACTTGACGATATGGAGAATTTTTAAATATTACTAGAAAATCAGCTGGTATTCTATTGTAATGGCTACTCGTGAAAAATACTTTAAATTGTGTACATAATCTGGTTTATCGAAGACAGTGGCGTATATAGAAGTGAGCTTGGGGGATATGTCTCCCGAGTATGGGAGCGGGCGGTCCCCCCGTATATATGCCATTGATCGAAGATTTTATATAGGGCGATCAAAAGTTTCCCAACCTTTTCTACCTTCTCAAAATACTCTCGAACAAAAAATTGTGCCATGACTTTGACCGCAACCTCAGGCAATTCAACGTGAAGATAAAAGATTTTCGTTCTTGCCACATGTATGTCATTGAAAATTATCAAAAAGACCCCTAAAGGTAATGGCCCAGGTCACGTTCAATAATATTTATGGACATAAAATGTTCCCCTCTTTCCATCTGCGGGGTCGATAACATATGATACAACATCTTAAACTTGACCTGAATTTTTTTGCTGTTCCCATTGGTGGGATCAAAAAGTTACTGCTCCATTTAAAGTTTTCAAGTTGGCCTAACTTAGCACCCCACAGGTATGCCTGAGTATATTGCGTGCCAAAATAAAGCTCTGAATTTCCAAAAGGATCATTCAGTATTCCTAAGATGGAACCCCGAAAATATACAAAAATGGAGTTGTTGCACGATTTTGAAAGTAGCAATTAACAAGTTGCTGATCAAGCGTGCGGGCAAAATTGGGTGGGTGATTCCTTGAGTAATCCCAAGATGAATGTTGCATGAAAGGACCCAAAATCAGACCTGCATTTTCCTTTGATTTAGAAAAATATAAGAAGCACCTATAAAACTACATTTTGGAAGCGTGAGACATTTACTTTGTAACTATGAGCTTCGTTTACTTTACTCATTAATTTATAGTCAGTCAGCCAATCTTTTCAACCTGAGTGTTCCATATATATATATATATATATATATATATATGAGCGGTAGTCATTGCCAAAGCCAACGACCAGTTGGGTACAAAATACAATTAATTGTTAATTGGGAAATTGGCAAAACTCTTAGACTTAAGTTGACTCTTTTGACGATAAAATCAAGCTTTCGGCATTCTCTATGGAGCCTTCATCAGGATTTCGTCGGTGAGGTTGCAGCCACAAGGTAAATGTTAAAAATATCAATCCATCCGAACAAGTTAAAAATATTACACGAGAGACGACATTTTGTTGAAACAACCAGAATGCAGACCAATTTCCCAATTAACAATTAATTGAATATATACTAAGTGACATATAAATCCGAACACCCAGTTTAAATGGTTTTATTTTAATAAAATTTTGTATAAGTACTTAATGAAGCATAATAAGTAAATGATAAAAATTTCAAAATGATTGCACTGCTTTAAAGCCCTTTGACCTTTAATAATGTGTGGATGCACCCTGATGTGCTACGCATTCTCCAACGCGCCTAGGCATGCTTCTGATCAGGTGGTCAATGTCCTCCTGTGGTATCTCATTCCAGGCAACCACCAACTTCTCTCGAAGTGCTTCTAGAGTATGAGGAGGACGTTGCAAATTGAGCAATCTCCTACCCATCATATCCCACACGTGCTCAATTGGGGATAAGTCGGGAGATCTTGGTGGCCATGGTAACAATGTGACATCATTATGTTGAAAGAAGTCTATTGTGACTCTTGCAACATGTGGTCGGGCATTATCTTGTTGGAAAGTTGGATCTGCCAGGGTGTCAAGATAGGGTAAAAGATGGGGTTCTAGAACTTCGTGGATATAACGCTGCGCGTTCATGTTACCTCTGATGAAAATTAAAGGTGACCTGGAACCATAAGCTATAGCACCCCAAACCATAACTCCAACAGTGTGATGAACATGTCTTTCAACAAAAAACTGTGGATTCCTCCTTTCACCACGTCGCCTTCTAACCCTGGCACGACCATCGTGCGTGCCTAAACAAAATCGGACTCGTCACTAAAGACAATACTGTTCCAGTCCTGATCCCAGAGTGACCGTTGTCTGCACCACTCAAGGCGATTACGTCGGCGTTCTCGAGTTAAAGGGAGGACCTAGTGTGGCCGGTATGAAACCAAGCCAAAACTTCTCATTCGTCGGTAAACACTTCACATGCCAATAGGTCTTCCGTGTTCTGCAAACCATTCATTTGCAATGGACCTGGTAGTGGAGAAACGGTCCCTTAAGACCAATAATCTTAGGCGGCGATCTTCACGGTCTGTTGTTCTACGGCGGCGTCCAGTGCCCCTTGCTCTTTGCGTACGGCCTTCTCGAAGCCATGCCTGACAACACCTAACCACAGTGTCTACACTTCTTTGCACTCTAACTGCAATTGCCCGAAAAGAAAGTCCAGCTTCCCGAAGTCCCACTATACGGCCACTATTAAACTCACTAAGTTGACGAAATCGTACAGGTCTCCGTACTCTAGGCATCGTAACCGATCGTAAAGGATGTCAAGAACCAAAATCCGCCAACGTTGATTCTTTACCGCGGCTGAAATATTCATTTTTAGAGCGTTAGTGAATTAAAAAAAAGCAGTATAAAAACCGGAATGTCCAACTGATAAGGCTGAAAATTTTTTCACTTGTTAGTTACAGTAACATTAATACATTCACCAACTTTTATTAAAATAAAACCATTTAAACTGGGTGTTCGGATTTATATGTCACTTAGTATATATATATATATATATATATATATATATATATATAAAATACAATTAATTGTTAATTGGGAAATTGGCAAAACTCTTAGGCTTAAGTTGACTCTTTTGACGATAAAATCAAGCTTTCGGCATTCTCTATGGAGCCTTCATCAGGATTCTGAAAACACAACTGTGATGCTAGCAAAGAAAACAGGACAGATTTAAATTGTCAGACAACTTACTCGTCGGTGAGGTTGCAGCCACAAGGTGTTTCAGAACGAACGTAGAGAAGATCGAACTTATAATCAGTATAAAAACAAAAGGACGGGGACATTGGGTTTGTTGTAAAACGACAGATACCTTCGTTAAATGTTGAAAATATCAATCCACCCGAACAAGTTAAAAATATTACACGTGAGACGACATTTTGTTGAAACAATCGGAATGCAGTCTCTAACCTTGTTTCCGCAGCACGTGGAGAGGGCGACGGCACGGAAAGATAAAGCGTCGACAGATGACGAGTGATTGACTACCGCTCATATATATATATTCGATTGCACATTGAGATAGGCTGGTGTTTAAGAAGAAGATTGGTATAACATACTATGACGTTCTGATGACCAGTTGTTGAGTTATAAGCAACTTAATGTACAAAGTCGTCCACAACTTGACAGCCTGCCAGTTCGTCACTTTGAGAGAGTAAGTTTATGTTATAAAATAAAATGAGGTATCACATTCTAAAATATAGTATGTATGCATGAATTTCATCTTCCCCAAATTCAGCCTGCTAACTTGTACAGTTCAAAAAATAAATAGAAGGGGGACGTTTTGAAGAGCACTGAAGTTCTTATCATACACGTATTATGTTTCTGCGTTTATTGTTTCTTCTGTATATTGTTTTGCATAAAGGGTTACTTTTTAGTGTGAGACCGGTCGATAACTCCGATATTATACATGGTATCTTTACTTCAAAAATATGTTTACCTCTACAGGGTGATTCATCACTACGTGGTGACCTAAACACACATTTATTGGAGTGGAAGACCCTACATTTTATTGCAGATTTGAATCGCCATCCGTACGGCTTTTTTTCTCTTGTTTTGTAATATTTTTAGATGTCCTGCTTTTATTAGGCTTTTTACGCGGTATTCATTTAATCTTTCCAACCCGCTATTGAGAGAATTTTACAAATGTCGCCGACCCCCATCCCCCCCCCGCTCATCAGTTAGTTCTTCAATGATTATCGCAAAGGAATTCGGTCTCAGAAGAATTCAAGTGAACTGATGCAGCCACCCCCCGCTACAGTTTTCAATCGCAGCAACTCCCAACAAACAATATCCGGCTTAGAGTGCCAAATGTCCGTTCAGATTGTTGAGATATTGAACAATCGTCCGAAAAAAATGTTAATACCATATTTCTCCCTACCTACTTACATGATCAGTTTCTTTAGACAGTTTATACCGAGTGGTCAAGTAAACAAAATGGACTATCTCTCGAAGTTCAAATGGAACACCCAGTATATTTTCACATTCTCTGCCACTAGTTTCACAGTGTTGTACGTGTCGCAATTGCCGCGTGGAATGGATTCTTTAGTAGGAAAAGTACAGTGACTGAGGTATACGTTGTTGCTTAATAAAAGTTATTGTAATAGAAACGGACGTTCAGGAATACTCAAGTTCGATCTATAAACACTGAGGTGAGCTCAACTGCAAATGTATTCGATTTCAGCTCAAAAATTGTGAATGAATACGCAAAAGACATCAATAGTAGCTGCAG